GGTAGTGTTGTCATTGAGAGTGTCAGTGATGTGTCCAGTGAGCCAGTTGTAGAAGTAGGAGAGAAAAGAGTGAGATAGATTCTCAAGGTGTGGAAGGAAGTGATACTAGTGTTACAGATCATTCAAGGTGAGGATGACGCTCTAGTGACGTCAGGTACAACGTCAGGTACGATGTGTGGTATGTGTGGGACTATGCCAGTGCGTGTTGGTAAATTGTGTGGCCATTCAGTGAATGTCTTGCGTGATTCTGGCTGTAATGGAGTTGTTGTCAAAGAGATCTCTTGTGGATGAGGATTGCTTTGTGGAAGGTGAGCTTCATATAACTGTACCATGGGTGATGGTAGGGTTTTGTACTGTACCAGTAGCATGGGTTCCTATAGATTCACCATTTTACAAGGGCACAGTTAAGGCAGCATGTTTGGAGACTCCTTTGTTTGATGTTATGTTAGGGAATATTCCAGGTGCAAGGGCTCCTGAGGATCCATTACCTGAAGAGAGTAGTAGAGGTTGTTGAAGCTGTTGGTGCTGTAGAGACTAGGCGTCAGAGGAAGGTTAGGGAGCAAGGTATGAAACCAATGAAAGCATTTCAGTCTGTTGGCATTTCCTTGAGTAGGCTAGAGTTTATTCAGAAACAGAAGGAGGATTCTGGGTTAGACAAAGTCGGAAGTTGGTGCAAGATGGTAGACAGAAGATGACGGAGAAGGGTGTGTCACGATATTTCAGTGAGAATGAGATGTTGTATCGTGAGTATGTGAGTCATGATGGTTTGGCTGTTGTTCAGGCTGTTGTTCCTACAGAGTTGAGGTCAGAGGTTTATGAAAGTGTGTCATGAATCTTTGATGGGTGGTCACATGGGTGTGAGAAAAACGCTGGACAGGGTTATTTCACAATTTTATTGGCCAGGTGTGCAAGGTGATGTTAGGAGGCACTGTTTGTCTTGTGATGTTTGTCAGCGTACGATTCCAAAGGGAAGGTTGGCAAGGTTCCTTTTAGGTCAGATGCCATTAATTTCTACACCTTTCAGAAAGGATAGCCGTAGACTTGATTGGTCCTTTATATCCAGTAACTGATAGAGGCAATCGGTACATCCTAACAGTTGTTGACTATGCGACTAGGTATCCTGAAGCTGTAGCTCTTCCGAGGATAGAAACTGAGTATGTTGCAGAGAGCTCTTTTGGAGATATTTAGTCAGGTAGAGTGTCCCCAAGGGAGATGTTGTCTGATATGGGTGCTCAATTTACGTCATCAGTCATGAAGGAGGTTAGTAGATTATTGTCCCTCAAGCAGTTAACCACCACTCCATACCATCCTATGTGTAATGGGTTAGTTGAGGGAGGTTTAATGGCACTCTGAAGTTGATGTTAAAGCGGCTAAGTGCTGAGAAACCAACTGATTGGGATCGTTATTTATCAGCTTTGCTTTTGCTTACAGGGAAGTACCTCAGGAAAGTCTAGGATTTTCTCCATTCGAGTTGTTGTATGGCAGGAAAGTGAGAGGGCCTGTTCAGGTGTTGAGGAATTGTGGACAAAAGATATTCCAGATCCAGAGACTAGGACAACCTATGAGTATGTGTTGGACTTACAGAATAGGTTAGAGGAGACAATTGAGGTAGCTCATCAATCTTTGGTTAAGGCATCAGGCAGGTACAGGAAGCATTTCAATCGCAAGGTGAAGGTACGCCAGATGAAAGCGGGTGATAAGGTGTTAATTCTGTTACCTACCAATCACAACAAGTTATTGTTTACAATGGAAAGGTCCTTTTGTGATAGAGGAGGAGTTTTGGTTCTGACAATTATCGCGTTAGAGTTGGGGATAAGTTGAAGACTTATCATGCTAACTACTCAAAGTATATTGACAGGGAATCTAGTAGCTGTAGTACAGTGGTCAGTGATGTGAGTGTGAGTTTACCACAGTATGTTTGTACAGGCATTGTTGAGGTGGGAGATGACAATGTGGAGTCAAGATGTAGAAGGGGATTTGCCTGAGATTGTTTCTCCACCTTTGAAGGCTAAGGAAACTTATCTTGATGTGAACATTTCTCAAGATTTGTCGGATGGCTGCAGAAGACAGACGTTAGGGAGTTGTTGGCAGAATTTTCAGATGTTTTGACAGATTTGCCGGGGAGGACCAACTGTATGGAATATAAGGACAGGTTGACTTCTTCAGATCCAGTTAGGTCACGTCCTTATCCATTACCTCATCATATAGAGAGAGACCGTTGCAGCAGAGATACAGACTATGTTGGACTTAGGTGTTATTGAACCTTCAGATTCACCTTATGCTTCTCAATTGTGCTAGTGAAGAAACCAAATGGTAGTAGTTACAGATTTTGTTCAGATTACAGAGCCATTAATCGTATCACGGTTTTTGATTCAGAACCAGTCACTTTGGCAGAAAGTCTCTTTGCAAGGCTTAGTAAGTGTCAGTATCTGTCTAAAGTTTGATATCAGTAAAGCTTATTGGCAGATTCCGATGGAGAGGAGGAAAGTAAGGCATATACAGCGTTTATCACTCCAGATGGGCTATACCAGTGGACAGTTATGCCGTTTGGTATGGTTAATGCTTCAGCAGTCTTCACAAGGTTAATGAGGAGAAAGTCCTTAGAGGGTAGATCATGTAGACAGTTACATTGATGATCTGATTGAAGGAACTGATAGATGGGCAGATCACATGGTAAGTCTGAGAGCTATTTTCAGTCGTTTACGTCAGTACAATATCACTGCCAGACCCTCAAAAGTGATGATTGGGGTACCATACTATACCATTCCTGGGACATATTGTCGGTCAAGGTAATATTTCTCCTGACAGTAAAGAAGTTAGCAGCAATTTTGGAATTGTCACGACCAACCACAAAAGAAACAGGTGAGATCTTTGATTGGTTTAACTGGTTACTACAGGCGGTTTATTCCTAAACTTTGCAGCCATTGCAGTTCCATTGACAGATTTGACAAAGAAGGGTAAGCCTAATGTTGTTGTTTGGACTGATAGTCAGGAACAGGCATTCCAGACGTTGAAGAAGCTCATGGTAAGTGCACCAATTCTAAAAGTTGCCGGATTTGGAAAGACATTTCTGTTGCGGACAGATGCATCAGATGTTGGCATTGGAGCAGTGCTATTACAAGAACATGAGGGTGAGAAGTTTCCATTATGTATGTCAGTCGGAAGTTGCTGGACCGAGAGAAGGCATATTCTACCATTGAGAAAGAGTGTTTGGCTATTGTGTGGGGTGTACAGAAATTGAGCCGATTTTTTGTATGGGAGGGGAATTTCTGTTAGAGACAGATCACCAGCCTCTAGTGTGGATGACCAAGGCTAAGTTGGCAAACGGGCGAGTTATGAGGTGGGCCTTAGCTTTGCAGCCGTACAGATTCTGTATCAGAGCGGTGAAGGGTGTGGAGAATGTCGGGGCCGATCTCATGAGCGGGTGTCCACCGTGAGTTTATTTTCCTGTATTCAAAACTCCAATGTGATCTGTCCTAGTGTATATAATTATTTTGCAAATAATTATCAAGGATGGGAGGTGTGTCAAGATCACATGTGGTTGAGCTGTATATACGTTGGATGTTTCTTATAGTGTGGTTGAACTGTATGTGTCGGTTGAGTGAGTGTACGTGCAGTTGGGCTGTGTGCGAAGTGAGATTGCACGTGAAAAGCAGGCAGTTTCTGCGACTTAGTCATAAAAGTGGACGGTTTGATGTGACGGGTGCAGTCGTGATATGATAGAGCGGAGCGACGGTGTGAAAGCTGAGCCAGGAAAATTATCATGGCTGTCGGGGCCGTATTGGCTTGACGGCCTGTGTGCTGGCTAGTTGAGTGTGGCGGGTCAACACCAAGTATGCTGACCAGCGAAGTAATGCCTCTCACCAGTGCCTCTCACCAGTGTTGTGACCGGACGTTGTCCAGTGCCAAGTATGGAGGGCAGGGTAGCCTCAAAGGTATTGCCGGTTGAGTGTGGCGGGTCAACTCAAGTATGCTGACCAGCTAAGCGATGCCTCTCACCAGTGCCTCTCACCAGTGTTGTGACCGGACGTTGTCCAGTGACAAGTATGGAGGGCAGGGTAGCCTCAGGGTATCGTCAGACAGGGTGTGACCGTGTTCGTGAGGACGTGAACTGTACATACCATTAATCTGTGCAACTTCCTGTATAGGAGCCGATCGTCAAATAGATATGGACGGGAATATTACATTTTGTAAATGTTTCATTTGTATGCCTATATTTGATTTGTGTATTGTGTATAGGAGTATGAGTGTATTGGGTACCGCTGGTGTAATGGAGTACTGAGTGTGTATTTGAGTGATGTACTGAAGGTGTATTTGAGTGATATATGACTGAGATGTTTGGATGAATGTATTTGAGGTGAGAAAGGGGTGTGCAAGCTGAATATTTGAACTTTTCTTGATTTTCCATTTCATTTTGTTTTGGAAATAAATTATATTTATTTCAACACCACCTTTGTTTTATCTCGCATTGTGACAAAGAGACAATGAATGTTTACAGAAACATTATCAATGTTCATGATAAATTTGCATACTTTTACATAGTCTCTTCACTAACACCTATAATATAGTTAACTCCGACTTTGCATCGTTTGAAATCTTCCAAAAGGATATAAGTTTGTACATTTTAGCCAGCAGTCAAGCAAATATGCGTTCCATTAATGCCATTAGATGCTAAACACGAAGTTGAGCGCTCAAGATAGTAACTTGTGCGCTCAAGATATTAACTTGAGCGCTCAAGATAAGTAACTTGTGTGCTCAAGATAAATAACAACTGTGTGCTCAAGATATTAACTTGAGCGCTTAATATATTAACTTGTGCCTCAAGATAACTAACTTGAGCGCTCAAGATATTAACTTGCATGTGCGCTCAAGATATATTTTTTATTTCATGAGGTCCCTTCAGCGCTTCCGTAATTTCCCCAGTTTCAATGGCGATGCTAAAAATAGCTAAAGACTAGACAAGCGGTAGGTCGATGTTTGAAAATTGTAAGTGTCCTTACTCCCGGACCACTGGTGTCATACCTTTCTACTGTGTCCAGCGCCTTGTTAAAAGCCTCCGTGAAAGTTCTGTCAATTCTGTTTTCGCCATTTCGCATTCGTAAAATAGCAATGTTGTCATCTGTGAAGGTTAGCTCTATTCCCGCATTGAACGTATGCGCCATTTTGTTTCTCACAATTTTACTTTGCTCTTGGGGTTACACAACACCAAATGTTTTCCATAGACTTCTATAGTAGCCTTATATTTTTAAAAAATAATCCAGGCTATCAACAGCCATTCCATGTGCACATGGGTACACTCTGGCCTTTAAACTACCATAAAACACACTATCTGGCCAACTTGTCCGGCTCGTTTTGCGAGCACAGGAAGCGGAACACATCAACCCCAGATCCGCACCAAATGTCACCTACTGGAAAATATCTGTACACACAATAAGCATAAGTCATGGTGATGGAAATCACAGCACTGAACACTTAAAATTGTGGTCAGTTTTAATTACTGGTTGGATATGCTTTTAAAAAAACATAAACATCTTACACTATTTCATCCAATCACAGCTGTCACATGTCTTTATCTCTTCATTTGTTTACATACGCATCTCGCTCAGTGAGCAAGCGATTCTCATTTAGTGTAGTATAACCTGTAGGAAAATTTAGAAACATTTGCCCTAGGCAAATCTGTGACTTATGTACTGTATATACATGCAACTTCTCAGAAAAATATAAAACTGCATGAAGCTTCAATACTTTTCCTGTCCAACATATCTATATGGCACAAGAATCTATGGATTTGCTGCACTGACAGAGCTGTAAGAGTTATATCATGTCTATTTCACCAAAGCTATACAAAATGCACTTCTGCATTAATAGAGAAAGTTTTTAAATCATACATATACCATGGGAGTTTACTCTTATTTCACAAAAAAGGGGCCATGGGTTAATTCCATGCATGACTGGGACTGCCTTGATCATATCAATCCAAACTATATTTTGAACGACAAAAATCATTGAATTCAGGCCAGAAATTGGACAGGTTTAACATTAAGCAGCTTTAACATCCTGACATATGTAAGGCTGGATGATGAACTTTGCCAGAATGTAATAAGTGAGGGGTTGGATTATGCCTAGCAGTCTGAAACACTGACCACAGTACCCTGCCGCCTGTTAGTCGATCAAGGCAAATGACCCTTTCAACAGATGAAATCACTTTTTTAGACCACAGCATGATAAGAACTTACATTTGAATCTATTGATTCATCAAGCTAAGACTTTGAAATACTTCCAGAAATTCAAAACTATTGACTGTGTATTGTTTTGAGGCTGTTACACTTGCCAATTTCATGTATAAGCCAGTTTAGAGGGAACAAAGTGAAAAAAATCCACATAACTTTGGAAATTTATTGGTTACCCCCTGCCCTAAACTGAATATTTTTAATTACAATTAACAGTATTTGACAATATCAGCTAAAACAGAGCTTCTCTGCAGTAATTTATGGGTTACTGGGTTAGAGAAAGACACAATGTATTTGGGTAAACAGGGGAGATAATTTTAAGATATCGAACACTCTCATGTCAATAAAATGTGAATTCAGACCCATAATATTACATTCCACAAGGGTCAGTTGTTATTATTTACATCTAAGCAGCTTCTGGGATTGATGTACAGCCCTTATTTCATGTCTGGGAAGCTGAAATACTACACACTGAGGCATTAAGGGGACACTGTCAGAAATTTCTGATGTATGAGGATGACCGAGTGATGGAATTTGGTAGTGAGACATTTTGGTGCCTTAACTGGACTGGGACACTTAAATGTACTATATGTACCTACATGTCCAAGTACTGCAACTTCTACAAGGCGGTGAAGCATATCGAAGCAAAGGGAGTATGCTTGATTAGACACTGCCAACAACAGACTTCGGCCGGCATGTCGAAATACCACATTGGATGTGAAGGCTTCTTTCTGCTGTATTTGTGAAGATACACCTCCCCATTCACCAACAGGCATTCTACAAGCTGAAAATAGTGTTGAGATTACATTAAATGTCAAATCATAAAAATCTATAACAGCAATGAGACAGTTGTTAATAAAACAGAAATTCATTTTGAAAGTCCTATGGGTGAAAAAGGGGTATATTTTTAAAAAGGAAAAGAAAATTAGGTCGTTGCATATTCAAAGGGGGACAGGCAGAAAGAATTGATCATATGCTACACTGTTTGCATTTAAAACAAGGGTTTGTGACATGTTCTGCTGTCAGCAGTGAACAATTTCATGATATTCTTATCATTTGACTTCAAATTGACCCTCAGGAGATGAACTTAGACACTCACATTGTTGTGGCAGTGGTGATTTTAACCTAATTTGTTGTCAAATTCATCAGTTTCAACAAATTTAGAAGCCAGGGAACCACTACTTGATGGTAAGACTCACCGTGAGGGTCTTTTCCCACTGTTCGACCACAAAACGAAGCAACGTTCATATTCTGCACACTAAAACAATCAATTTAACTCAAAACAGCCCTATCTTTACTCCCAGTACCTTTAAATTTGCCTCTACATTAATGCTAACATGTTTCCATGGTGAAATAAACACAGGAAATCATGTAAAGTATGAATTACTGAAAAGTGCTCGAACCCTACAGGTTACACAACACCAAATGTTTTCCCATAGACTTCTATAGTAGCCTTATATTTTTTTAAAAATAATCCAGGCTATCAACAGCCATTCCATGTGCACATGGGTACACTCTGGCCTTTAAACTACCATAAAAACACACTATCTGGCCAACTTGTCCGGCTCGTTTTGCGAGCACAGGAAGCGGAACACATCAACCCCAGATCCGCACCAAATGTCACCTACTGGAAAATATCTGTACACACAATAAGCATAAGTCATGGTGATGGAAATCACAGCACTGAATACTTAAAATTGTGGTCAGTTTTAATTACTGGTTGGATATGCTTTTAAAAAACATAAACATCTTACACTATTTCATCCAATCACAGCTGTCACATGTCTTTATCTCTTCATTTGTTTACATACGCATCTCGCTCAGTGAGCAAGCGATTCTCATTTAGTGTAGTATAACCTTGGCCGTGACACCAACAGCGAGCGACCCAGATTCGGGGTCAAATTGTAGGACTATACGCGATATTACAACTTCCTTAGTTTGTTTATTCGACTCGTTACTACGCGTGGTGGAGTAGTCTAGTGGTTAAAGCGTTCGCTCGTCATGTCGAAGACCCGGGTTCGATTCCCCACATATGGTACCACCTTTGGTAGCTTATATATCTTACTTGTTAAATCGGAAAAATATAGTTACTTCAATTATGTGTATATTTTTTAATTTTCGAGTTTTCATCATTCTTTTGATATGTACCGATTATTTCACGTATTTGTATAACAAAAAATTAGAACTGCACGTACACACTAAGGGCATTAGGGCTGGGACGGGTCCAGATATTCTACCGGGGTACCCCACCCCTATTACCCTACCCTACCCGGATACCCGTTATGTTAATTCCTGATATAAAATTGTAAGAAATGGCAATATATTCTTCAGCTCGGAGGCTAAAATAGTTTTTCAATATCCTAACTATGCATTATATTAAAACAGAAGTGGCTGTAATTATGTCTAAATCTTCAAAGTCATTACCACCCTTAAATCATGAAATGATAGCATAGACATTGTTTAAGCTACTAGTCACATGATCACAATAGGTCCAGGTATTGAGACGGGTACACGGATCCAACTCATTACCCACCCGTCCCGGGTATCCCGTCCTAGCCGTAAAGGACATGATACCGTAGCTATATTGTTGGTGAAATGGAACCTATGGTGATCCATACCATCACTTCTAGTCAAGGTACTCCTGTTGCGGTGAGTGCGTGAGTGAGTTTAGTTTTTCGCCGCACTCAGCAATATTCCAACTATATGGCGGCGGTCTTTTAATAATCGAGTCTGGACCAGACTCTCCAGTGATCAACAGCATGAGCATCGATCTGCGCAATGGGGAACCGGTGACAGCGAGCCTGACCACCCGATCCGGTTCATCGCCTCTTACGACAAGCATGGGTTACTGAAGGCCAATTCTAACCCGGACCTTCACGGGTCCCCGTTGCAGTAACCACTGCCAGATAAAGAGCTGTTACAGGTCGTGTCCGTGGGTCTGGGTCTCCTTTCATGAATCAACCTTAACTAAGGTTAACTCCCATTCTTTAACATTGCACTAAGGTTACCTTAGTGACTTACGATCACCTTAGTGCTTAGTGAAAGGAGGCTCTGTTTTTTACCACCACATGCCGCATTTGGAGCTTCTTGATACTAATAATCATGAATAAGTTGTAGAAAAGACTTTTTACAAACATTGACATAACTGAACATTCTATTGACAAAATTATGAAACTACAGTGTGCTACTTTATTGTAAATAACAAGAGATTTATGGGAAACAAAAACGCAGCCCTTGAGGAATGCATGATGACATTCCAATATTTCCGTAAATAACAGAAAACCTAAGAACATGCTTAATTTGAGGGATAATCCTGCTCGTATCTATCATTAAAGTTTCATCACGACATATATACATTAGTACATTGGAGGGATATTTCTAAAGTATTTCGATTCTTTGTCAGCCCACTCCAAGAACCCCGGAGAGAAATCTCTCACGACCTTGAGCAAGGTCAAACAATCGTCTGCTGCTGTATGACAGATTGGGGGCGCTTCTCCAATGCACCGCCTGTACACTTCCTCCAATTTATAGGATGGTTTCCTTGGAATCGGTGTCGACGACAAACGCCCAGCATCACCTTGAGGAACTTCTCTATTACTTGCCGGACTTTGCCCATTGCCTGCTTCCTGATTTTCGAGTGTCTTGAATGCCTTGATGCTGTCCACACAGAGGAGATCGCCCTGCAGCTTTCCGCTCACTTGACGCAGCTCGGACACAAGGAGTGGGTAGTCAAACCAGTCGCCATTGTGTGCAACGAGGCACACTGGTTTCGGCAGACGACTGAGAAAGATTGACATCAGCTGAACCATATCTGTGTCGAAAGGTTTCTGGTCAGCCAAGGTTTCATTGTCCAGACCTGGAAACATAATAAAACTGCAGTATTGCATCTGTTTTCATCATTGTCAGCACTAATAGGGTCTGCGATGGGTGGATAGTCGTGGTGTTCTAGGTTATTGCACCTATAGAGATAGGGGAGAGAGAGGAGAGAGAGAGAGAGAGAGAGAGAGAGAGAGAGAGAGAGAGAGAGAGAGAGAGAGAGAGAGAGAGAGAGAGAGAGAGAGGGAGGGAGGGAGGAGGGAGGGAGGAGGAGGGGAGGGGAGGGGAGAAAATGTTTTGTAAATGTACCAAATAACTGAAATAACGAGAACTTTCGATTTAGTAAATATAAATATTCATTAACTACCATTGTGGCACCATTCGTACAAATATGCCCCAAATATAGAAACTGTTTTGTAGGCTCATTCCCACTTACCCAACTTACTGGGGGATTAAAAGGGTTGATATTTTATCACATTTGGTCCCGGATACTGTTTAAGAGGAACATAATAATGGATTAAAGGGGTTGTTGGGTAAGTGGGAAGGCCGCGTTTGCCCATGCAGCCTTTAAAACAGACTTGGATACTATGTCTGTCTCGACGGTTCGTGTGTGTGCGTGTGTGTGTGCGTGCGTGCGTGTGCCGGCCTGAACCAATTATTATAGAGCCAGCGTATGGAGGCTTTTGGTGTTTTATTTTGTTTTGCATGTTGTTTAAAGTTACTTATGTATGATATATATTGGCAAGATTTATTTAACACCTATTGTAATGTAAATCAAGTATGTGAACTGTTTAATTAGATATTTAATAGTTTTGTACAAGAATGGGGCTTAACGCCGCACCGGCAAGGTTCTCGCTACAAGACGACGGTCTGTATTAACTGGAGTCTGGTTCAGACAATCCAATGACTGACATGCTGCAGTTCCAGTGGGATATCCTTCTCAGACACGGTCATATCATTTGGAGTTGATCATTGTTTTCACCTCTTAAAGCCGAGAACTATTCAGAGTAACATGTACCATGTTTTGGCGTCGCCGGGGAACGAACCACGATCGAGGTCTGGGTGTAGCATTGACACATCTGATTCCCGCCCAGTTAGTCATCCGTATGTATTGAAGATGTTCGTTGTAACACACGACAATTTTCGAGGTACTTTGGGTTAGAGTCCGTTGTGGTGTTCATTTTGACGTTCGTAAGTATTTTCACGAAACTATATTATTCTACAATTACAACACTCACACTCAAGTTCTATACATTCCTACAGAAACCCCTTACGATTCCTCAGCTTAAAATAAATACAAAATTATTGCTCATGACACTATTTGACAAATTATCTTAAACTTATTCATGTTTGATACACGGAATTTTGAAATTTAATTTTTCATTGCATTTCCATGAATATTTCCACAATGAGAATTGGGTATGTTCGTTAAAGGGCAGTAGGTCCCACATACTAAATATGCTTTTAAAAATATATCAAACAAACTACCAAACTGTGACATTTTATGCGTATACAAAAGTTAGCTGCTTGTTTACTTTGTGGGAGTTCATTTGGAAATGTTTTAGCCTTCATGGAATCAACGAGGAGAGGGGTGGGGCAGCCTAATGGTTAAAAACTTTGCTTATGACGCAGTCTACCCGTGAAGGTCCGGGTTAGATCTGGGTTGCTGATCTTCAGTAACCCATGCTTGTCGTAAGAGGCGACTAACGGGATCGGGTAGTCAGGCTCGCTGACTTGGTTGACACATGTCATCGGTTCCCAATTGCGCAGATCGATGATCATGCTGTTGATCACTAGATTGTCTGGTCCAGGCTCGATTATTTACAGACAACTGGCATTTAGCTGGAATATTGCTCACTGCGGCGTAAAACTAAACTCACTCACTCATGACGCAGTCGACCCGGTTCTACATTTCCCACAACGATACAAAGTGTAAAGCTCATTTCTGGTATTGCTGGAATATTGCTAAAAACGGCGTACTCACTCACTCACTCTCTATATTCGCCACCCACACATTGATGGCTAGGGATTCCTGTTTTCTGGCAATGCTCTCCAACAAGTGTAAGTCACACGTCGGGTTAAAGGTGGAGAAACCGGTCACGTCTCTACCGGTTAGAGCTGCTGGGGCGAAACGAAACGTGGGTCACGTGATACTGCTATGTATCTCCACCATATTCACCCATGTAATATCTGTTTGATTTGAATTGGCTAAACGTAAATGGGCACCATGGTGGTGAGTCAAGAAAGGCAAGTCATACCAGGGATACTCTGTTTACAACTTCTGTCAGGCTGTGTCCGCCGTCACCCGAACCCTTCAGGCCCAAACGAGTTGACTGAGGCCCCTGTAAAGGTGGATAAACTAACAAACCTTGTGTTAAGTTCTGTGAATAAAACTTCGACGCTACAGAAAATCATGTTACCTGTAATCGACGCAGCCTCTGGTTCTAGACGTTTACGAGGGTCGACACACAACAGCAGCTGGTTCGTCACCCGCGGGCCCACGGCCACTTTTGACCCTTCAAGGTATTTTCGACCGACGCCTAGAAAACACAGCTCGGTGATTTTCGGTTCCTGTTTTGGGGAGACCGGTTGTCTCCGTATCGAAGATAACAAAGCTTTGAATTGGACGTCTAGCATCCGCATCTGATCTCCCCTCTGCCATTGCGTAGGATTCTTAAAACATTATAACAAGTTTCTCAAAAACTATACACTGAGCAAAAGCGAATGTAGATCTAGCTTTCCCATGCGGAAAAGAGAACGTATGTTGTGCCCTTAAACGCACAATGGTCTTAAGTGCACAGAAATCATAAATAAACATGAGTGGGTGGAGCTTATGTGACCACGTCATACGTGTTTCTGTACGCACTACTTCTGTCTTGAACACGGAAGTGTCTTTACTTCTGCTGAGTCGTGTAAAGATGAATAGCGTGTAATGAGAGTGCATTTTCCCCTACAACATAACAAAACAGCATTTCCTTCCATAGTTACCATTTATAAATATTAAAGAAAATATAGCAATATTCAAATGTTTGTTAAAAGTTCGATCGAAAATTTGCAAGGGACCGTTCATAATGTATAGCTGGGCTGGGATCGAGTGATGATGATTTTATGGAGAAGCACGTACAATGTGAATAACAGTCAAAGTGCATGTGCATGTATACAAAATTATGCTCTCTCTCTCTCTCTCTCCCCCTCTCTCTCTCTCTTTCTCTCTGGGTGAGTGTGTAACTTTAGAAAATTAGAGAGAGTGTGAATTCTACTCTTTTAGGTGGGGTGGGGGTAGCCTAGTGGTTAAAGTGTTCTCTCATCATGCCGAAGGCCCGGTTCGATTCCCCACATCGGTACAATGTTTCAAGTCCATTTCTGGTGTCTTCCGCCATAATATTGGAATATTGCTAAAAGTGGTGTAAACCCATACTCAGTCTTTTAGCAGGGTGGTGGGTTGTCTGCAGGTCTTCCCTGTTGGAACTGAATTTGGTGTTTGGTAATCAATTCTTGGGTTATGTGCCATGTTCTTTATCAATAAGGCCAGACCAATGTATTTCTTGTTTTACATATTTTTGTCCTCAGAAGAATTTCTTGTAAGTTTACATTTTTGACCAATAAAAACATTAGGATTTTATTTTTGAGCGGGAAAATTCAATTTTATTTCTTTTCGTATTCTGGAAAAATACAACTGGAGGATACGTAAAACAAGAAATAGAATTGGTCTGGTCTAAACTTGAAATATAGGTGTGCTTATACAGTATGCATGAGAAGCAATGTATACAGGACACCTTTTAGCACAGTTTACTAAAGGTAAAAGATGCAAATGTGTTATGTGACTTTTAAGATATCAGAAGTTTAAACATTTGGGACATCTTTGAAATAGTG